CCCTTCCCCGATTTTATGTGAGCCGCCCTGAGTCCCCTCAGGGAAAAGGGCGGCCTACAAATATTAATAAAATCTATAAAAATCTATAAAATCTTTTGCTTAGCAACAGAAATTTTGGTCATAAGTCGATGACTATCTGTAAAATATTGCAGAGACACAAAAAGTATCTCATATTCTTTGAGGATTAAAAAAACCCCCAATTGCCAATCATTGCAATTACTATGTAGTTGTAGCACCCAACAATCTGAAATAACCATATTAACAGTGATTTGATTATTTCAGTAGAATTGCATCTGTCTGGTTTTACAGAGACTTCCCTGTTCTTTTCTGCAAGCAAAAGAATGTATGTGAACACCATGTATGCAATTAGGCATAAATCCTTTCCCATGACATGTTTTAACAACATTTTGTATGCTTTGGATTGTATCCATTGGGCACAAATCAAGGAAAGAGGCGTCTAAGTGACTTTAAAATCAATAGGATTTGAGTCCACAATAATTTTTCCACATTCCATTCATTTCAAGCACATGTAGACGTATCCACCTTTCTTAAATTGTCTTTCCATTTGTTTGGGAAACAGTTACGACATTTATTGCACAATAAAGTTGCTGATGCAATAAAATCTAGTGGTCTTTATATTTTATAGTCAATTCATAAAGTAGACATATTAACTTTGATGCAAACATTAATTGGAAAACATCAAGTACACAGCAAGGCCTATTACTAATTAAGCAGCCTTCACATAGATACTAATTCCTCGTAAAGCTACTTAAAGTTGAAATTAACTGTTCTGCATTAATATCTGCTCTGTATAATTCATCTATTCAGGTAAAATTCATTTATTCTTGTCCACACTAAGTGGATTGGATTCCAAAACACCTATGGATGTTTGCAGAAGGGAGGTTTCCCATTATTTCGGTCTTTGCTTAACCTCTTAAAAGTAACAACAACAACAACAACCACCTTAGTAGAAGTTGCAATGATTCCTAATCAGTTAATATTGGGGTTGTTTGTTTTAACACAATGCATAGCGTAAAGACCTGTTGGAAGAAATGTCCATCTGGGATAAGTTGCAAGTGGGGAGAAAGACACTGGAAACATGGAAGCTGCTTGAAAAGATGGTTTAATGATGGACAGGACCACATGGTTTGAGATCTTGGGCAAAAGAAAAAGCACATGGGTGGAAGAAGGAGAGAGAGATTTATACCCTCTCTTGGGTCCTGTCTTGGAGCTTCCTGTTCTTATGTAAATGTATTCTGATTGGTTGTCAGACTCCCATGGAGCCATGCAGGGCTAACCTTGTAGTGTCCTCAGTCCCAAACTTAGTTGAGTCTTGCTGGGTGATGTAATCTCCCCAGGTGCCATGTGATGAGTTCTATTGCTAGATGAGTAGAGGGCTAATCCTATCTTTGTTGGATCCTCATGAGGACACTTGCTTATGAATAGACCTAGCTATCTCTTTATCTCTTTAACTGCTGACATCTGCTGTGGGCTATTAAGAGTGTGTCTGCTTCCTGCCTAAAAAAAATGTTTCTCTATTTCTCATCCAGGGAAATACAATATTCTGCCTTTTTAATATTTCCTAGAATATTTCATTTTTCTAGGAGAGGGGTAGGTGATAACTTCCTACGGACCAAATGTTTAAGAAAAAGGCTGCAGGCCAGATGTGTCAGAAGGCAAAACAATTCTGGGCCAGGCATCGTTGTGTTGAAATGAGAAGGGCTAAGGACAAGGCTAAACATATAAAGCCTTGATAATATTTCGAGCTGCCACACCCTGCATGGAGTGAGCTCCATAGAACTATGTTTTGGGAGGGGAAGGAAAGGAGAGAGAGAAGAAAAAAGGAAAAGAAAGGGAAGAGAAGGAAAATTTCCCACATACAACTTACTAAAGGTGATGTTACTTTTTCCCCCCAGGCAGACGTTTGTTCTCAGAACATCCCTTTCTACATTAATCTTCTTTGTTGGGGGGGGGGATACTTCATTTGCTGTATTTTTTATTTAACATATAAATATGGACACTCTTGTGGGGAGGTAGGATTTGCTGTTAAGTTTTCTCAGAGCTTTAAGATGTGTAGATTTCAAGTCCCAGAATTCTCAGGCCAGCTGGCTAACTCCAAATTGATTATGGCTGATTTAGAAAGCCAAACAGAAGTTGGCCCAATTTAGGATTTAAATGAGGACATCTGGCAGTCTAGGGTTGCAGGCTAGAGTGCAACTGTCTTACTAGGAAAAAGTGGCAAACCACTTCTCTTTCATGCCAGAAAATTATGTGGAAGTGTCACCCACAAAAAAGTACAATTCAGCTAACCTCAATAATTTATACTCAGCAGAAATTAAATGCTCTGAACTTATCGGTCCTACCTCCAAAATAACCCACAGAGCTGCTGTAAAAATAACACACAAACATACAAACCAAATTTCGGCTGCCTGAAATAATAGGCTTCGATCCACAAATTTTTATGCCATAGAACAGTCTTTCTTAACCTCAACAACTTTTAAAAGGAGTGGGCTTCAACTCCCAGAATCCCGCAGCCAAGTCGGGGGAATTCTGAAAGTTGAAGTGCACAGACCTTAAAAGTTGTTGAAGTTGAGAAACGGCGTCCTAGAAAAATCCAATTATTTTCAAAGTGCCGCAAAAATGTTGGTTTTATTTCCGAAAACTGAGAGAAAAGAGAGTTATTTCTTGGAGAGTTTTTGTTTTTCTCTTATGGGATACTCCTATTTTTAATGGGCCAGAGTTCTCATCTCTGCAGTTTTTGCAAAAAAAAAAAAAGGAATTACATTCTTCCGTCCTGCCGCGGTTAGAAGGAAACACGGAAGATTAAATAAAAACACGTGCATTTTAAAATAACTTCAGACCTTCGCAATTGAATGCTTTGGATGAGTCTATAAACTACTGTTGGGGAGGGCAGATTATGTCGATTTTTGCCCCTGAGCTCGTAGCTTGCTTTCTTAAGTGTTACACTTTCTTTGTACTTCCCCCTCACACACACACACACACACTTTGCTGTGCGGTGGATCCTCCAATCATAGTCTTCCATGCAAATATACTATAGCGTGCTCAGATAAAAAAAGGCACAATTAAACCTTAAGTACTCAGAGAGGGCAAATATAAGTGAACTTTTCTAAAGCCTGCTTTCACCTGTGTTGCAGGAACCGCTCCAACCATGTCAGCTGCAAAGACCTTGCCTGCACCCCTCAGTGATCTGAAGATTCAATATACTAAGGTTAGTTCTATTTATTCTGGCTAACTTTACTCAAACCACGATATCCCCAAATTGTGAATGTCCTCGTTCATGCTGCTATTCTTGCTTCGGCTTCAGATCAGAAGTGACTTGTGGATTTATTCCAGTGCTCTCCTCTGTCATCTATTGGCCTGATGATAGAGCTCTTGAATCATTCTAGCCCAAGAAGGTATCGCAGAGAAGTGAAACAAGGTTGAAACCGCATTTATATTAACAACAAAACAAAAACAAAAAAAAGCGTTTTAGGTTTGATGTTAAATACAGGCGCAAAAACTACATGTGAGTTCTTGGAACTGTGCCCTGCTGGACTGAACTTCTCTCCATGTTTATATTAATAAATCTCACTGGGCCTCACTAGAACTTAAGGGGGAGGAATGAAATGGAATAAGCATAGCTGTAAATGCAGCTGTAAAAATTCTGGAACGTTGTGATTGTTTGACAATAAACGGTGCAGAAATTATATCCGTGATCCCACAGCTGTCCATTAAGCTGAGGGTTGTGACAACAGGCTAAAACTTAAGAGAGAAGATTTCGTTTCTCAGATCAGCGAAAGGGGGAAAAATAGAATACATTAACAATCAGAATACATTAACAATCAAAACAATCACTTTGCTGGACTGTGATTTTGCGGCTTGAATATATGAATGCATATTTGAAAAAGTAATTTTTATCAAAATCAATTGCAAAGAATATAGATATAGCTGGACAATAAGTGCATGGAAGTGAAAAGCAACCTCAGAATTACAAAGCCATGACATTCAAATAAGTAATCAATTATCCTTCACCCAGTTAAACTGGAAAACCTAGAGGTAGGCAGATTGTACTGTGGTGCTACATGAAGTGGAAAACAATTCACTGTTCTCAAATAAGCTCAGATTCAGAATGTTACTTCAAGTGGAGCTAATTGGGCCTGAAAACATGAAGTTTGGCTAAGTCCACTGCAGTCAAGCTGAAGAAGCTTATCTGTGACTGTTGGCAACATGATCCACAAACTGGTTGAGCTATGAAGTCTGAATTTAAACTAGCAGGGAGTAATTCAATCGCATTTCTCTGATAGGAGATGGATTTATAATATTACGTAAGTCTTTGATTTATGCCGTATGCAGCAGAACACATTATGTAGTTGCTTCATTCCAGCAGAAGTATTTTAATGCTCAGAAACTTCTCCCAATGAGTGGGTTTCTATTATAGTGTGGCGCAATCTTTTCTATGTCCAGTCAGAAGGAAGGAGTTTCATCATTCATGGGACTTAAGAATGAAGTAGGTTTTGAAAAACAATGTAATTTCAATGTCCTAGAAGAAGGAAGACATTCTTTAAGAAATTAATACTGCTTTAGATTCTTGAAGACAAGTTTGCATATCCAGTCAAGCACTTTGCTATGAACAAGTTTGCCTCCCAAGTATCTAGTAAATTCTTTCTCTGTTCATGCAGAAACAGATAAGAGGAAACATGACATATTATTTTGGTTAACTTTTCAACCAGTTCTCTCCCCCCCCCCTCTGTTTTTCTTGCACAAGACTGATTGATGCAAAATACCTCTGAACTTTAGGTAGCTAGCAGAACCCCCTGAATTTTCAAAGACTGTTAGGTGAATCTGGAGGGGTGGGAAGAAATTGTGAAGAACAGCTCTCTAATCCAGAAGGAGGGCTCTGCAGAAATCCAGATGTGAAGGGCTAAAAGTGATTCAGAGAATTTCTGGCAGGTGCACTTTCTGACGTACAGTTTGCACTTCAAGTTTGGATTCTTGCATGGGCTCATCAAGAAGTTTATTAGTTGTCTCTTTGTATTTTTATTGAGCACGAGTATAGAAGGATCTTGGAAGGAAACCAATGCTCCCATCTAGATCTATCAGAATTTCTAATATTGCATGCATTTGCACATACAATAAGGCTTGATTGTTTAACTTTATCTGGAGAAAAGGTTAAGAGATAATTTTTACTGCGTGTTAAGCTGCTTTTAAAGCAAGAAAGCAAGGAGTGGACAACTGTGTATTTGATACATTCCTGATTATCTCAAGTCAGGAATGTATATGTAAACCAAAGTTGAACACTCTAAAGTCCAGTTGATTTTAGTGGTAGAAAATTAAATCCAGATGTAACACTCTCACAAAAATAAAGAAGATGCTTTAACTTTGGCTGGAATGTGTCTCAGTTATATAATCATTCACAAGGCCGGTTTAAAAATCAAATCAAGGCACATTGAAGCAATTGGAAAAAAAGGGAACTGACCTATTTGTTCATTAATATGAAATTACGGCAGCCTCTCCACCTTAAAGCCAGTCCTAGCCCATCTTAGTTATTTTACTTTTTGTGAGAAGCTTGTTGATGTATTTCACAAGGTTTTTCCTTAATTAAATGATGTGCATAACCTGCAGGAAAATACTTGAATCCTACAATGGATCAAATAGAAGAGGATGGTTTTATTTTTTTAATGTAAGAAAATTTTGAATGCCCTGATTTAATTTGACAGCTATAAAAAGATAATATATTATGACCAAGTCTTCCGCTATATTCTTATTTTATTTGTACTGGCACTCATAAGGCAAAAAAGTATCCCAAAAGGACAGTCTGCATACTGTTATAGTTATGTAGTATATATCATCAGTTACTGTCTAGATGTGTTGGATCGTAACTCAAACCATCCCTCAGCACAGCCATGAGCTGGATGGAGATGATTGGAGTTGCCAACTATATACTTATAAATCTAGAAGAATGTTCTCTGTGATACCAAAGTCTAAAAACAATCACTTAACTCAAGAATATTATTTTATAGCTGAAAAAACTAATGTATGCCCAGAAGCAATTTTACTGAGTCTATGAACACTCAAAAGGTGTACAAAATTACTATTTGTTTACTCAGAAAGTAAATTTAAGAGCAGTGGTTTCAAGGATCACAGCCTAAAACTATGTCAGAAATTGGTGCTCTTAGAAATGAGGTGTTCTGCCACTTTATTTAGCCAAACTGGATTTCCAGAAAGTCCAGTTGCTTCTTGAAAAAGCACCTTTGGGACACTTTAACTAGTCTCTCGCTCTGCAAGATCAGTTTTAGGTTTTTGAAGCCTGAGTATAGGTAGAGAGCAGTTGAAGAGATGCATGGATCAGCAAATCATTTTAATTCTTCATCTCATTCCTTTTTCAGTTGAATTACAGTACTGATCAGGTAGATGCAGGAAGTGAATCTTCAATGCATGAGCAATAAATACCTGATGCTTTCATGAAAAGAAAATCACTCTTATAAAAGAAACCCACACTATACCTTCACATTTTAACAACTATCAGATGGACACAAATACCTCCTCAATCTTAACCTAAATGGTATTAGATCTAATCTTGATGAAATCAATAGAATTTAATTTAAATCCCAATCGATCATTTCCACTGAATTCACCAGCAAATGTAACTCATAAAAATGATTTTATCCTTCATTCCTTCCATGCCTCAAATTTATACCAAAGGTCAATCAAAAACCTCAAGAATGGTGTGCCTTTTGGTGCACAGATGTGCAAAGTAGTAAAAAGAGTTGATAAGGTATCTCTTCCCTAGTAAATATTTTACTCTGTTGTGGCTTGAACTTTAGCAATGGTTACCTAACCTCATCGATCCTATGAAAACTTTTTCAAATTTTCATTTTAAGAAATGCTTCCAATCTTACTCATCATTACTTAGTATTCCAGTTTCAGAGCTTCTGCAAACACATTCATAGCTTCACACGGCACACTGCGCAATTATTAACTATGCACACAAAGAGGGAAAAATGCACTTCTTTGTCACCCTTTATGAAGCTAAATTGAAAGTAACAAAAACATATTAATTAGCTAAGCATGAAAAGCAAAACGCAAATAGAAGTGTTAGCTGTTTAATTAGCTGTTGAAAAGTCAAAGGCCCATGGGCTTTAGCTTAATATTGTCCAATCTTTCTTTCTTAAGCAATAAACAATAGCAAACCTATCACCTTCTCTTCTACTCAGTTCTCATGTTTCCTTCTTTATATCCATTTATGCTGTATGTTCATAATAATTTAGATTTGCATGAATTCATAAGAATCTCTTTAATAGTCTGTGCATTTTTGTACATAATATGGCTTTTTTTTTTAATAAGATTCTCTTTGACACCAAATCAGTGTTATTTTTCATATGGGCGCATATTCTGATTATATATTTGGACATTTATTGAGGCAAAATGAATCTGAGCTTTATAGAGGCACTTTGCTATATCACCTTGGAAGACAGGACAAAGAAACTAGCCAAAGGTATGGTCAAATAAAAGTCAAGATGAGCCCACAGCAGGAATTGGGGCAAAGGAAAAGGCTCAGAAAACACTCTCCCTAGTTTTGGGGCTGTAAAGGGGATAATGGTAGAATTGTTTTTTAAGACTTGCAGGATTCTCTTAATATAGCTTTACAATAAAGTAGAATTAGCTCATCTGGTTGTGCTTCCTGCCTAGTCTACCTAGTAGTAAGGCCAGGCAAGAAGCACTAACCATGAGTACTAACACTATCGTTATTTCAAAGTTACAGTACAGAAACATTCACATCTGAAAATACCTTACTCATGCCTTACTTCTACTTTTCCCAAAGCTAGAGAAGGTTTCTTTTTAGAAATCTTTCTCCACTCCCAACACCTTATCAGACTCATGGTTCATTTATGTGACTGTTGTCTAAGCTGCTGCTCTTCCTCCTGTCATATAACACACATAACACATTTATATATACGCTTTGCTATGCTATGCTATGCTATGCTATGCTATGCTATGCTATGCTATGCTATGCTATGCTATGCTATGCTATGCTATGCTAAAGACTTTTCCAAGGGGAAATGTCTACTAGGATTTCTTTCTGTGACATCACATCAGCTCAACCAATGAAAGCAAGAAGAATTATGGTGTCCTGTGTACATATCTGTGGCCTCAAGAACACTGTTCCCTTTAAGGTGCGCGGCCGCGCAC